GTGGACACTGTTGCTCTGGTGGGGCAGCTCAGGCATTGCTCTGTTGTGCCATACAGATTCTGAACCTGACTCAGGCGCTTAAAGATGGGAAGAGCCCCCTGCACCTGGTTCAGATGCCACCTGTGATTGTGGAAACGGCACGTTCCCACCAGCGCACCGCCAGTGAGTCCTACACGCAGAGCTTCCAGAGCCGGAAGCCTTTCTTCTCGTGGTGGTAGCTCTGGGAGCCCTGGGCAGGGCTTGGCCACCTTGGACTAGCACTGCGAGAGGAGCTGGGCCACTGCCGGCCCCTGTGGCCAGGACTTGAACTTCTGGGTAGAGCGAGCAGGTGCGGCTGGGGGGACCCGGAGCTGGACTGGGGGGGCCAGGGCGGGGGGAGGAGCCAGGCAGGTCGGGCGCAGTCCCTCCCCAGCTCCGTTGGAGCTCAGTGCCCTGCCTGGGGCAGAGCCCAGGGGGAGGTGTGGGGATCTGCCAGGAGCTGTGGCATGGGTGGGACCCTGCCCCTGCCTCCCTTCCTCGGCCTGCATGCGGTTCTGAGCACCCCTGCTTGGGCTTGGGATGAGCAGGCTGCCTGGGCCAGGATCCGTCCAGCCCTTTACACCAGCCAGTGGCCCTTTTTTTTTTTTTTTTTCTCCGCCATGCCTGCTGCCGGGCTGGGAAAGCCTGTAGCGGGTTATACCCCCCTCCCTTTCCCCGAGGGTGTGCTGTACTCTTTCACTGTCCCTCCTCTGCCCCAACCCCGTGCACGCTGCTTTCCTCAGGGGGAGTTCCTGCTGCCCGCTGGTGCAGCAGGGACCGCAATGAACGGCTGTTCTCTGGCTGGGGGCTTGAGGAGGGGAGGAGAGGATATATGAGGGATGACTCTTGGGGCTGGCTTGGGTGCAGTTAGACACTAAAGGGGAAAGAGGTGCTGGTTTGTCCTTGTGAAGAGCAGGCAGCTCTGGGAGGGGCTGTAGTTTAATGCCCCCCCCCAAGCTGGAGAAGGTGGAGGGTGGATCTGAGGACCCTCTCTCCCTCTCCATCCCTCCTGCCAGGTCTCTACAGCTGCTCTTGCTTGGCTTTTGCCCCTGTTTCCAGCAAGCTCCCTGGCTGCTGTGCAGCCAGCACGGTGCCAGCCTTGTCTGTGCCTAGGGCCCCCTCAAGGGGCAGGGGGCTGCCGGGGAAGGGCTGGAGGGGTTCTTCTGCTGCATGGGTGGGAAAGGTGATGGGAGCACGGGGAGGGGGGCCAGCATGGGCTCCTGGCTGCCCTGGTGCTGACAATCTTA